ACTCTACTTCAGATAAGTCTATTATTATTTAATATATACAAATATTAAATATGTAAAGAGGTTAGAGGAAAAATACGGATACGGTGTTGTTAAGTCGAGTATTCTCAAGCGGACAACATTTTTCTTACTAAGCTAAAGTCGAAAATATATATAGTTTACTATATGAGAAATTACTTAGCTCTTAAGCAATCGATAAATATCGATATAATTTATATATAATTATATGCTAGATGTGATATGTATAATATAACATTTTAAAATTATATTATTAAATTAAGTTATATTAGTCGAGCTCTCTATCATAACGTGCTCTTAAAGGTTCCTTAAAAATCAATATATATCGATTTGCACAGCTGAATGCATAGCATAGGATGCATTAAGAGCTCTATGTATACAAAGCTGTCGGAGCTTAGATTATTTAAAGCTGAACGTAGAATGATTTTTACGCGAATAGCCTATACTAAATAAATCTTTTCCATATATCATAATTCTTAACAAATGTATATCAGTTAATCTATAAGAAATTGTGAAAATCAATATCAATGCATTATATAAATTACGTGGCCAATTTCTCAAAAATATCTTTCTGATTTGTATTATCTTTTATATTATATAAATTGAATATAGAGTGTTTACTAGTCACCATTGTACAACAATCGATAATTATCGATTTCTTGAACAGCTAAATATTATATAAAATCATACAATACTAGGCCTATTTATCCTTATGCCTAGGATATCTCCCTAGTCGTTCACTCATTGCCAGCGCACTTGTCTCTTATTTGCACGTCTGTCTGTCTGGCTGTGTGTGTGTGTGAGTGTGCTAAGCATCAAGTTTGCAATAACTGTAGCCCAGTTTTGAAAGGGCTGGCAAATGCGAAATACGAAATGCGAAAATAGCGAGTAGCGTAAAGCAACTGGGATTTATTCACGATGCTGCCGCTGCCGCTGCYGCTGCTGCTGCTGGCATTTCGCCGGCCGTTGCGGCTGTTATTAAACACGTTTATTCTAAGTTTTCCCCAAAGCACTTTTTCATATTGCGTTCTGCCATATTTTGCGCCATGTTTTGTTGGATTGCGCAAAAATTTCAAATTAAGTTGCAGCACAGCCAGTCAAATGCCCCCACAGCCAGCCCAGCCCAGCCCAGCCCAGCCCAGCCCAGCTCAGCTCAGCTCAGTCCATTCTCTGCCCAGCCATAGTTGGATCCAGGTCTGGAGCTGTAAGTGAGCAGCTGAATTGCATCACGTACATGGGCAATTTGCCAACAGAATAATACAAAATACACACACGCACACACAGACAAGCAGACTACATGCACGTGTGTGAGTGTGTGTGTGTGTGTATATCTGTGTGAAGGTTGTTGAACGCTGCCCAACTGGCCAAGTGGCTGGCTGCGTAGCCTTGCCTGGCATGTTATCTTTTTTCTCAGCTTTGTTTTCTTTTTTTGGCACAGGTTTCATGCTTGAGAATTTGTAAATCGCAGCGAGAAACAATGCCAAAGCATAAACTATATAAATGCGAAATATTTTATACATATATATGAGTTTCCTCTGTGTGTGTGTGTGTTTATTTGTGTTCCACTGAAAGAAACAGATTACTTTTCATCGCTTTGTCCATGCTGAGCAATTAATCTTGCTCTATATATCTTGCCTGCTCTCTCTCTCTCTCTCTCACTCTGTCTCTTTGCCCTTGTCGCCTTCTCTTTTGCACTTACCAACAACAATCATGTCCTCGTGACCGGAAACTGTCTGGAACGACGGCGCCTCGCCGGACACTTCGCACCGATAGCGGCCCGTCGACTGTAGGCTGACCGAGCGCAGCACCACAGCAATGTCCGTCGAGTTCTGCAACTGCAAAGGCAGAAGGAAAAAGAAAACAAACAGTCGTAGAATAAACGAGTATGTTAAAAGTAAAAGTAGAGATAGAGGCCAAAGAAAAATATTGCGCTTGTCTTGGTTAGAGAAAGTGACATTCGAAACTTTGAAAGATTGCAAGTTGGCAAAATATGTCCTTTGAAAGCGAAACTAAGGAGAAAGGACGAGAAGAAAAAATATTATAATAAAAGTTCTATACTTGACTCGTGCAATGGGAAAATGCAATTATAATTTAAATAAAAAATTTTTTAAGTCTCTAGACTGTTCAACATAAACTTAATAGCTGCGTGCGTCCGTAGTGGAAGTCTTATCCAAAGTAAAGAGAAAAACCGAAAAGATATATATATGGGAATATAATGGGAAAACTCAAAAACCTCTAACTCCAACAACTAATAAAATCAATAGAGAAAAATAGAATAGAATAGAATAGAAAAATAGTTTAATTAAAAATCACAATAAAGTAAAATATTCATATATCGCAATGAGTACCCGTAATTTAATTTAAATAAAAATATGAAAGTTTAGACACTGCCCAATATTAACTCACGTCTTTAGAACTCAGTAGAACTTAGAAAAAAATTAAACTAAAGAGATTAGCCCAAAAGATATATATAATCATTATACAAAATTGAAGTCCAATACTTAAGTTTTTCAATGAGAAAATAAAATTTATGAGTGAAAGAGAAAAAAAAAAAATTATAAAATCAATTTGAAGTAAATAAATAAAAATCAAAATCAAAATAAATATCAAATATTTATATCTCACAATGGGCAAACGCAATTTAATTTAAATAAAAATTTTGAAATTCTCTACACTGTCCAACATAAACTCAACGACTGCACAGCTCATTGGATGCGTTCTTGTAGGTTGTATAACGTGAGGGGATCGGCGGGGCGCTCATTCTTCAAGGCAGCGGCATTGTTGCCATCGTCGGCATCATCATCATCATCCTCGAGCTCATCGTCCATGTCATCATCGTCATCATCCTCGCCGTCCTCATCAGCGCCATCGTCGTCATCGTCGTCCAGTTCCGCCGCCACCTCGGCCAATTCAGTCAGCTCCTTGTCACTGACTGGCAGGGCGCTGTCAAGGGCTGCGCCATCGAAGCTCTCCATGGCCGCGTGCAGTTTCAGTTGGCTCTCCGCGTGCATGATGTTGTGCTCCTTCTCGATCCTGCCCAGGCGCAGGCCGGCCTCGATGGGATTGCTAATCGGCTGACGCACCATCTGGGCAATCATTTCGATGGCATCTTCGTGGCTGAGTGGCGGCACACACTCCTCCAGCGTCTGCAGCAGTTTCGATTTATTCTTGGAGTACATTGAAATCGAGTCGAGTTTCCGAAATTGTTAACGAACGAATATATTTCCTGCCAGTTGACTGCTCAACGGGCTTCTCGTAATTGACTTTGACAACGCCTCACAAGAGCCGAATCGAAAAAATAAATAAACAAAAAAAAAAAGCATCCGCCTACTCGATGGAATTCATCGCATCCAATCCGATTAGTAAACATGGACAGACAGACTCACCTCCACATCGACGCCGGGCAGCGGAAAGACCTGTCCGGGCGGCATGTCCCGCGGCACATAGCGATAGAACTCGAACCCATCCTTATACCACTTCACCGAGTACAGCGATTCCCCATCCAGGTCGAACTTGCAGCCCAGCACGGCGTCCTCATGTCGCATAATGTGCTTCGGTATACGAATCTCAGTCATGGTTAGGCAATCCACTAAAAAGGGAGAGAGATGGGACGAGAATGAGAGTGAGAGTTAGATAAAGAGTTATTTAAAGAGAAAGACGACTCGATTAACCCGAGTGTAAATTTAAAGCTCCTTTAACAGGCATTGAAACAAAGACGTGGCAGCTCTTGGGCTCTCGGGCTCTCTGGCTTGGTCTGTGCGCCGATCAATGCCAGCACCATAAATAACTCGCAGCGAGTGCATAAAAGTCAAGGAAATCGAAAGAAATCCGCTAGTCGGGCCGAAGACAATGCGCTTTTGTTTGGCCCCACACAACACAATGCGAGCTACCCAGAGAATGAAAGCGGCCAACTTGAAGACGTGCAAAACGTGCCCAGGCTATGGAATACAGTTGAACAGAATGGGGTCTGCTGGATGTGGTCTGCGGGAAGGGGGATGGGGATGTGGTGTGGGTCTGCTGCCAAGAAGTTGTGTGCGAGACAACGAAACGAAACGAAACGAAAAGTTGCAGACTTTTAAACGTACACAAAAGGCCTGCATAGGTAGACTTAGACAATTTGGGTCAAAGTTATGGCACGAAAATCAAGATATGAAATTAATATTGCACCAAAATGAATGCTGCACAAAGGCAGCAAGAGAAAAGCCTAACAGCAGCAGCAGAAGAAAAAGCAGCAGCAGCTCATATAAATTCTGAAATGTTTGAAATAGTTTTTATAGCATGCCTAGAGATAAGCATAGACACTGAGTTTCTTAAGTTCGAAATAACGCAGGTTCGAAATAACAAGAGTCGACTGTATATACATATATATATTTTTTAAATAATACTAATAAAAATTCAAAGGGGTTATTGAAAAACCTCGTATGGCTTTAACAAATA